TTGGGATCATGTGAGAAGTGCGAGTTTTGCGCCGGTAATGATTATGCGAAGATGATGAAGGCCGCCAACGTTTTCAACTGATTATACGATGACGTCACGAAACCAAAAGTGATATTGTTTCAGGTGCTTGTAGAACCATGTTATCGGCAAATGTAGGGCTATATAGGTGCAGTTTTGCACAATGTGTAGAGATGAGGGATGAAAGGGAGGAGTTGCAGGAAGAGAAATGGCTGAGCCTGCCCCTGAAATGTAATTGAAACATTTTCCTCCCAGATGTGACGCATTTTTCGCAGTTGAGAGCATGGGTGTAGTTTTTCATAGTTAGTTTAGGAGGGCAGAACCCCCCCCCCCCCTCCCCAAATGATGAATGGAAAAATGGATGAAAACCATCATTGAAAACGGAAACTGCATTACTGGCTAGGAGGCACATCCCACCCCTCCCCGTCCAGCTGAACGTTAAATGTGTCTTTATCTCACAATTCTTTTCGGTAAGGGGCGCAGGGAGAAAAGATGGCTTAGCCTGCCTCCGAAATGCACTTAAAAGTTTTCTTCGAAGCTCTGATGCACTTTTCACAGTTGGGAGCAGGGGTGTAGTCTTTAAAATTTGTTTTAGGGGGACAAGCGCAAATATTATTAGGAATGAAAAATAACGGATACAAATGATGCCCAAAAATATGCAAATGCATCCCTGGTTAGGAGGCACAATCCCGCCTCGCCTCCCCCCCCCCCCCCCCCAACTGAATGGTAAATTACATACGTTTAGGCTGGTTACGTCAGTATGCCTTAATACGATAATTCTATTACTTTAGCCTCAACCATCATTCATTGTTTGATGTCCAGCAAATGAAGCTTAAGTGCAAGTCAGCTCTCGGAACGAAAATGTTTCGTGGTTATACCGCATTGCATATCATATGTCTTTGATGGTTTATCGCCTTTATATATATTGCAACGGTTTCTGAAAGGTTTGACTCCAGGTGACAACCAAGACGGTTCCAAATTTCGTCAGCGACAAAAAGGGCACTTTTTCATTCCTGCAGACAACATCCTTCGTGAAAAACACCCTAGAAAGCATAAAAAATCGCGTAACTTCGTTTCAAAAAATTAGAAATTGTTTCTGGCTTCCAGAGGGCTTTTCAAGAACAACTCGGAATGAGTCTTGGACCCTGGAAGATTTTAGGTCCAGGAATAAGAGATCCGAGCCTGGGTCCTCTTTTGAGGTCTGTAGAATAGGCGCAGCTTGTTGGCCAGGCGCATTTTATCTGCAAAAGTATGTAAGCCTTTTGCCAAGTTGTGGTGTAGGCTGTCTGGGCTTTTGGACCGACATGCTCAACCCAAAAACATGTTGGATCAAGTTCATCATCCATTAACGTACTTGATCAAGCAGGTATCCAGTAGGTACTTCAATAAAAGCTCAAAATGGATCCTGAACCCCAAAAGGTCTTTCAACATATTTTCCAACTGGGCACTGGATTCATAGCTCACAGTGCGATCCGGGGATGAACTTCTAGAATTCAAGCACGTTTCGGATGCCTCCAATAAGTGACATTCAACATTTTGCGCACAAGTGTTTGACATCAGGGCATCTTTCCCTGTTAAGTTCATGGAAGATGGACATGCCGATCTTATTTACAAAAAATAATTGTAAAGATCCTTAAAGCTGGCGAGTCATCCATTAGTATGCATAGCAGCACTCCTATGGGCATCAGCTCTCTCGTCTCACGTCGCTTAGCGGCGTCTGCCTGGTTTGGTCTGGAAACGGCCCTTGAGCCGAAGCCGCATATCAACCCGCTTCACACAGCGCCGTGTCTTTCTGAACGCAAATGCCAGGATGATGATCCCGACCTGCAGCCTCACGCTGCCCAGTTTCTTTTCTGCGCCCGAGACCATTTCGCGATGAGTTTTTACAAGCAACTCCTTGGGAGGCGAAACACTTCTTTCAGCTGCGGCGTGGTCAATGGCTCTCGGCTCTGAGCTCATCTACAGCGGTAATATTTTACAGCCTTCTGTAGAAGCCCATTTATCTAACACATATATCTTGGCAGAACGACGATGGCTCCACTAATGGGTTGGCGTACTTCGTCATAAGCCGCTCTACCGTCTGGGTGGTGCGTCGCCTTGTCTTTATCAAATCGCGCCGCAGTTTGACGTCCGATGTCATTGTTTCAAGCCCTTTTGCGGGAAGCATAGTGCAGACCATTCCCGAAGGCGATATTTTTCGTAGAACCAAAGGGCGGCTTAGATAGGCACAAGCAAAAATACAGCGCCAGTTACTTGCGTCGGGGCTCTCATCAGGAAAGTACACTCTCCCGGGCAAATGGCGGCTATCCGCCCCATCTATGGACAGCATAGCGCGGCAGCTTTGGTGGCATGCAAAGTGCATGCGATGCCGCCAGATGGAGGCGCCGAATCTTACCTCCGCAGACGCTCGTGACGGAAGGCCAGCGAGGCGAGAGCTGCGATCCAAGATGGCCGCCGCCCAGCTGACGACGCCCGCCAGCTGATCGCGTCACGCGAGACAGCAGCGCCTCATCCGGCGGCTAAACGGCCACGATGGCGCGAATTGTTTAGGAACGCCGCGGCTGAGCCGGCAGCGTGATGGCCGTGGAGGCGCGTTCGGCGGCTCCGCGTCACGCGACGGCTAATCTTGCGGGGAGGTGGCGCAGTGGTCAGCAGCGGGGAGCCTGGCCACTCTCCGACTGCGGGAGCCGACCCTCGCCTCCGCCGAGGGTGGTGTTTGCTCTGGACACCATGAACACGACCGACGGACGGACTGTCGTGTGGGAGTGTTTAGCAACAACCTTCGCACTTAGTGTTAAGCAACAGTGGAGAGATGGAGACGAGATCGCATCGAACCATGGTAATACCTTTGAATTCGTTCGAAGACAGAGCGGTGCTTAGCGCTGTGAAAAGGGTGGATGCAGAGTTGGTGTTTAGGTGGAGTGGCTCAAGACCCATCTTAAAGCAAGCACTCTCAACAAAGCAAATTATTTTCATGAAAATATTAAAGCACCACAAGCAGTAAATGATTTAACATAGAAAATTTGAAGTAATTTGAAAGGACACTTTCGAATTTGTGCTTCGATTGGTACCCTCACATCAGTCAAGTAAGCACATTAGAATGTACAGTACATATATTACATAATGTTCGGACTGCCTCTGCTTCGCAAAATAAACGCATCCAAAATAAACCACGTGCTGGGACACACAACCGATTTGGCGAAACTTCACCGCTACTGAGAGACAAAACCACATAAGCCAGCTGCGGAGGGATTGGCGAATGAGACTGAGTTGATTACTTGGCCTTTTCCTTTTCCTTTCTACAAAAGCGTGAAAGTGCGTTTTGGGACATGTAGGACAGTGAAGCAGGCAGGAACAGTGATGCTTTACATTCTGTCAGGAGTATTCAAGATTGTAAGTGGTCTCGGCAAGTCAAGTTCAGTTGTGTAGCCAGAAATTAAATGCCTGGCATCGGAGGACAGCTGGCGGCCAGCGAGATCCCAGGTATCAACGTTGCATTGCTAACTGATCGGAAATATTGACGCTTCATTGACATTGTCCGCCAGGTCCGGCCTGTTATACATTTGAACAAGCTTATATATTTGCAAGCACGGATCGTACCAGTGTGTACTAGTCATCAACAAGAGGCAAGTTTCTTTAATAGCAATGCCTTAATGCTTCCAACCTATTTGTGTGCAAGCCCTTCGATCAGGGCTGGTTTTCGCACGGCATCGCCACACTACCAAATGTTAACTCCCCATTTGATTAACATAGGAGATAATCTGTTTGTGGGCTGCAAAAAAACTTGTGAACACTGGTGAAGACTGATTTAAGAGTATGCTTACTTGGCGACACAGCAACACCAGACCGCGTCGTGGATGGAAGACGGAACGTTTCGTGGATCCGGCATAATCGTTGGTAGAATTGCCCGGTTTGTCAACGGCTCGAACGTGGAAAAAAATGGGTACGTGAGTTTGGGGCTCTTGAGGGAGTAGCATCAGGTCTCCGTATCCAAAGCAGACAGGCGAACGGCTTTCATCAAATTTGTGAGTGCTTGGAGCATAGTTGAACCGATGTACGCGCCAGCAGACAGGGGGGGGGGGGGGGGCAGGGATGAAAGAGTGCCTTTTTCTGGCACCGACAAAGTTTGAAACCGTCTAAATTTTCACCTGGAGCAATTTTTTTTACAACCATTGCAATATAACTCTGGAGGAAATAAACCACAAAAACGAAGACAAATTAAACGCAATACAGCATGGTCACCAAACCTTTTCTTTTCGGAGCTCACTTTCATTAAAGCATAATTTTCTAGTCATCAAACAGTGAAAGATGATTAAGGCCAAACTAAAAAAATTTCAGATAAAGGGATAACTTAACATAAAGGCATAACTGGCCTAGAGGCGCATAGTTCCCTGTTCACTTGGTGGGGGAGGCTATACCTCCTAAGCAGGGATGTAGTTTCCTTTGCTTAGGAAATATGTTTACAACGGAAATTTTTAGGAGTTGAGGAGTTTAGGAAATGTGTTTCCCATGTTTATGTAACGTAATCCGTCACTTTTCGTTTGTCATAGGTTTTGGGGTTGTCACCACAAATTAATTGTAAAACTGCATCCGTGTTCTGAACCCTGGAAAGAAAGTGCGTCAAATCTGGGCAGAAACCTGTTTAAAGTGCATCTCGGAGGCAGGCTCAGCCATTTTTCCTTCCTGCCCCCCCCCCCCCCCCCCCGTCCTCTCCACCTTCCCTCCC